AAAAAAATAGGATTTACAAATACAAACGATAAGACATTTGACAAAATCCGATGAGAATAACACATAAAACATCAAAACTTAATACATGGATTTTGGATAGAAAAATACCGTGACACGTCTTATAGCAATGCGAATTCACTCACAGCTAAACAGTCACAATCGGGAATAAGTCACGTTCGGTACTAAAAAGATCAGACGACGTAATGGAAAACCACAATCTAACACGTGATAAAAATGTCCTTTGTTAGTTTGGACAAAGTCACATCGTATGAATCAACCAATTCGTGATGGTGTCCATAAAATTTACGGAGTAAATGTCTCTGGGTATTTTGCTGCATGACGTCAAACGACGTAAAATATTTTTTGGAACATACATACATACTTACATACATGCATATAAACATACATACATGCATATAAACATACATACATACATAAATAAATAAATACATACATATATACATACAAACATACAAACATACATACATGTATGCATATATACATGCATACATACATGCATACACTCAGGAATTCGTCAAAACCCTGTGAGACGCAAAATCTAGTGTGACATTATGATGCCATCAAAAGGACGGATTGGATATTGTCATCTCGATCTCACTTTATTGCCTTATATCTTTTATTGTACAGAATGTTAGTAGTTATATTATGTGTAATTATGAACACATCATCGCTTCCATAATCGCGACCTCTAATTTTACATACCACCCATGGGCTTGCGAACTGAAAATCGGTGTTAGCGTTTCGATTGCTGCAATGTGAAAGTTTGTAAAGCACGAAAGGTCGTAGGAGATAACATCACCACTATTTGCAGGGATATTGACTTCCTGTTATCGAGTTTCGCTCCTCGAAAAAATCTGATTTCGTTCGTCCAAAAAAATCTTCCTGACTTGCATATTTGGACCCAAAAGTACCACGTGTTGCAAACATTGCAATTTTTCTTCTTTCTACTGCATTGGTTTTTACAACTAAGGCTCATCTGAAAGGTACATTTACCAATGTAATACGTCTTCGCAAGTGTGTATTAGCTATGTTTTGCAACAGAAACAAGAAGCTAACTCCCTTTTATTTTATTCTTTTTTAGATAGATGGATAGGGTAGTTATTTAAAGTTAAGGTTAATGTTAAGGTTAACTTTTCGTGTAACCTTAAGGTTTATTTAAGCATATCTTGGCTATTTTTTAAGGTAAAGGTTAAGGTTAAAGTTAAGGTTAACTTTTCGTGTAACCTTAAGGTTTATATAAGCATATGTTGGCTATTATTTAAGGATAGGGTTAAGGTTAGGGTTAAGGTTACTTTTTCGTTTAACCCTAAGCTTTATACAAGCATATGTTGGCTATTATTTAAGGTTAAGGTTAACTTTTCGTGTAACCTTAATGTTTATTTAAGCATATGTTGGCTATTATATAAGGCTTACGGTTAAGGTTAGGGTTAAGGTTAAGGTTAAGGTTAAGGTTAAGGTTAAGGTTACTTTTTCGTTTAACCTTAAGCTTTATTCAAGCATATGTTGGCTATTATTTAAGGTTAAGGTTAAGGTTAAGGTTAAGGTTAACTTTTTGTGTAACCTTAAGGTTTATTTAAGCATATGTTGGCTATTATATAAGGCTTACGGTTAAGGTTAGGGTTAAGGTTAAGGTTAAGGTTATGGTAAAGGTTAAGGTTACTTTTTCGTTTAACATTAAGCTTTATTCAAGCATATCTTGGCTATTATTTAAGGTAAATGTTAAGATTAAAGTTAAGGTTAACTTTTCGTGTAACCTTAAGGTTTATATAAGCATATGTTGGCTATTATTTAAAGATAGGGTTAAGGTTAGGGTTAAGGTTAAGGTTAAGGTTAAGGTTAGGGTTAGGGTTAGGGTTAGGGTTAGGGTTAGGGGTTAGGGTTAGGGTTAGGGTTAGGGTAAGGGTTAGGGTTAGGTTAGGGTTAGGGTTAGGGGAATGCGTTGTTTTTACACCTTTATTACCGCTCCCCTAATAGGGTTAGGGGAATGCGGTAGTCGAGCGGTAAATGGTAACTTTTTAGCGGTAAATTGTCTCTTTTTGGCGGTAATTGGGTGTTCCCGTTTTTTTTTGGTTCGGGAATGCGGAAAAATGGCAACTTTTTTGCGGGAAATGGTACCTATTTTCCAAAAAAAAAACTAAGTCCAGCTTTTTTTTCTTGTTTTTTTAATGTTGATTTTATTTCATGTTTTAGACCATTTTGAGTATTTAAAACTATGTTTTATGTTACATTTTTTTTTCTAATATTTTTTTCCAATGACCTTCGAACCAGTGCACATTCTTCATTTTTTATCAAAATGCTTAACGCTGTTCAAGATCATCTAAGTAGATGCTACTCTTGAATTCTATCCACGTGAAAAAATCCTCCTGTGCTCAGTTAACTGTATTTTTCATCCCAAAGTGGGGTAAAAATTACCGTTTTCCAAATTTTTTTTACGAATTCTTAGAACAGTGGGTGAGCTTTTTTTGTCAATTCATTGACC